ATTTTCACATATTTTTAAATATTTCATTAATAGGTATTTACAATGTATTTCGTAAATATATCGCTTTTTTATACCTATGTATACAGTTTTTATTTATTCCTATTAAAATTATCATATTGGAATTTAGAAATTTTGATCTATCAGCTTCTATTGATATACGGAGTGGTTATAAATAAGAAATAACTGATAAAGCTATTAGTGGGAGATTACAAATTGTAATGTAGCCATAATCTAAATCAAATGTATCCAATTCTTTCTAAAAAAAACAACAATGGATACGATTAGATGAATTAAATCRAATCAAATAAATTAAATTAATGTAAAATACCGATATGTTTTTAAATTTGTATTTTTTTATTTAAATATTTCATGTTTTTTAATACATATTTTGCTAAAAATAAGAACATAAATATTTATATACTTTGATTTTTTTTATTACATAAAAAACCGAGCCCAAGTTATAACATTTTATAAACTAATAATGATTCTAATCTTGCATTTCTTAAAGTATAAAACAATTTTAAAAATTGTTTAATAATATGCAGAATTGTTTAGGACAGACATGTATTCTAAAATCTGTATATTGGTTGGTTTTTAGATATATTATCCGAAAAAGTCCAAATAAGGAATCAGTTAATTCCAATTTAAAAACTGTTGAAGCTCAAAATACCACAGCAATTGCATTGCCCTCTGAAAATTTACAATCAGAAAATTTGAAATTGCAAACATTTTTCATCGAACATAATGACCCAGCTTTACCATTACCATCTGATCGTTTAGAAAGACACTCAAAATTACTTAAAGGGCCCTGCCAAGTCCATTTATCTCTTTATCCAAGAGTAAAATTCGGGGATCGATTTCGTTCTTTTCAAAAATCATGGTACGACATTTTTAAATGGTTAGAATACAGTGAAAGTATAAACGCAGCATTTTGTTTTTGTTGTCGAGYATTCTCTTCGAATAATATAATTAAAAAAGGTCATATCGATCAATCGTTTATAAAGAAAGGTTTTACTAATTGGAAAGGTGCCACTGAAGCTTTTAGACTACACGAAAAGTCACAATGTCATATTGATAGTGTAATTTCGTGGGAACATTTGAAAAAAGGAATTCCCATTGATGTTCAGTTGGATAAACAAAAAGTAATCACATTAGCAACTCGTGAAAAAATACGTTTAGAAAACCGAGAAATCATCAAACGTTTGATTGATGTTATAATTGTATTAACCAAAAGCGGAAGTTCATTCAGAGGACATCTTGAGCATGAAGATAGTGTGAATAAAGGACTATTTTTAGAAATCGTAGATCTACTTAAACGATACGATCCTATTATAAAAAATCATTTAGAACATGGGCCTAAAAACGCACAATATTTGAGCGGTAAGATTCAAAATGAATTAATAGCCTCAGTTCATAATGTGATGTTTCAAGAAATATGCAAGAGGTTAAACGGTCAACAGATTGCAGTTATGGCTGATGAGACCAGTGACTGTGGTCACATTGAGCAAATGGCAATCGTAATAAGATATTTTGATGATGTAGAAAATAAACCTATCGAATTATTTATCTCTTTGGAACGTCTTGAAACTACTGATGCACAATCCATTTTTAATGTTTTAAATACAATAGTCCATAAGTTAAAACTCGATTGGCTATCTGTTTCTTCCGTTTGTTTCGACGGCGCAGCCGCAATGGCAGGTAATATTTCTGGAGTTCAGTCTCGATGTAAAGAAAAAAACTCTAAAATATTATACGTACACTGTTTTGCTCATTGCTTAAATCTTGTACTTGTAGATTCTTGTATTTCCCGTAAAGAGAATAGTATGATTTTTGATTTTTTTGGAACAGTTCAAATAATATATAATTTTATTGAAGGCAGTCCATCTAGACACGCGGTTTTTGAAAAAATTCAAAAAAGTGTTGGTGTARAATTAAAGACCTTAAAATCCCTTTCAACAACTAGGTGGGCGTGTAGGGCAGAAGCTGTAACAGCAATTYGAGACAACTTTTCGGTTATAATTCAAACAGTTAATGAAATAAATTATTCAACAAAGCAACCAGAAATAAAAGCTAAAGGAAAGGGTATTATTTCCCAATGCTTAAATTTTAATTTTATTATCTGTCTCGAACTGATGCATCCTATTCTACAGTTGATTGTAAAAGTTAGTAGAGTACTTCAAGATCCCGGATTAAGTATTTTGACAGCTTTGGAGGAGATTAAGTGTCTTCGTTTGGCAATAGAAAATATGCGTTCCGATAGTTTGTTTTATGATGATATTTATGATCAAAGTCAGCACATTTGTGAAGAACATGGCGTAAACATACCATCAATCAGACCTAGAAAACTGCCTGCACGTAGAGATGAAAATTGGCAAAATCAGTTTGTATTTGAGACCAAAAAAGAGGAAAYCCGAGTTACTACAATGTATCCATTGATTGATTCGTTAGTACAAGGAATTGACGAACGTTTCAGTCAAGAAAGCACTTCAATCATTACTGGAGT